GCCCGACCGGCAGCCGCGTCCAGCGGTGGTGGCACCGTCCAGCGCCGTGTCGGGCAGCGCTGCCTTTTGAACGACAGCTCTGCTTTGTGAGACAGCATTTGTAACCAATCCACAATATCCTCTTTTATTTTTTAACGTGTCTGTGGGGCTGCCTAAAATGCTTCCAATAACTTCTATGGAATCGGGGTGATTCCAGTTAGATGAGGACCGAGTCCAGCGCAGGTAACGTGGAAGCACTCGCATGTGTAAGTAATTGAGCAAAGAGAGGGCACAAAAAGTCCCGCTCTGATCTCCAGCATCAAGTAGCTCCCGTGCCCCTGCCCTGGACCCCTTTTGTAACCTGCATCTGGCCGCACATCCTGCTGCTTGCGCTAATTGAACAGCCGCCGACACTTGCACGGTGCGTAGCAGCCACCTCTGTTTAACAACATTGCCACCGAAAGGAACGCTTCTTAAGGGCCTACATTATTATTCAAATTGATGCTGAGGATGATGTAAAGAAGGAAGCGTGTTCAACAGCTCTTCACGGATCTTTCTACAGCAACTTGTACCAGCTTCATTATGCTGTTTATACAAACACTGTAAAATGCTGTCCCATTGGTATTACACTACTAATTGGAGCTACTACTTTCAGAAAGAAAAACACAAGTTGTAAAGACCAAAATGGAAGCCTGTTTTTAATTTGGAATGCAGCGTTCCCTGCTTTGCTGAGGGCTGGTGGATTTATTTGTGTAATTACAAATCCAGGCTGATGCAGGCAAGCGTTCTGTATATTACATTGGTCTATGCATAGAATCAATACAATACTTTTACCTTGCTCTTTTACTGTCAGGTTTTACAAATAAATAACTGCCTTAGCATAATGAAAATAGACTGCATCAGAGTAGCTTCATCTGGCATAAACACAACCTGAAAGGAACTCTAGGAAGATGCTAGGAAAGAACAGGAGCGATCGGTGCGGGAATATGAGGCACCACCTGCCCTTTCGTTCTGTGCAGCTGCCCCTGTGTTTCTGGATGTGCTCATGGCTCTGTGGCCTACAAGACAGATGTGTTAACAGCAGAGTCTTCATACTGTTCTCCCAGAATATCATTTCAGGACAGCATCATTTCATTTAAACTGCTGTTTATTAACTACCCTAGGTAAGAAGGTATTAGAGGCATTAGCCATGCTGGAACACCAGGAATACTTCCACTGACCATCTCCAAAATCCCGATTTTCCACCATGGCAAAACAGATGGTGAAATAGGAGGACCATGTTTGGTTTGGGAAATAGATTTGATCCAACCACTGTGTGGCCTGTGCTAAAACAGGAGATAGAAGAGTGTTTGATCAGTCTAAAACTATTTTGCCTTTATTTTTAAATAAATGCAATCAAACAAACAAAAACCACAGGTACTTGAGAGGAGATTGCAAAGTAAGAATGAGTAGAAAACTTCGTAGCAGCTACGATTCTGAGCCTTCAGGGCTCAAAGGTTCCTTTCTTTCTTCTGTTTTGTTCTTTGGTTCAGGAATAGGTAAGCCAAGAATGTCAGCAGTGAATATCTCTGCTGTGATTTCATCTGGAATTTCTTCTTCCAGTGAGGCTGCTGCACCTGGAGAGCAGTAAAAACCACACCACAAAACATACAACAGCAACATAATAACAGAGGAAGGTTTATGGGTGACATCTAAGTGGATGGAATGCTTTAAAGATGTACGTAGTGATGGTGAGAAGGGAGCAGCTCGTTTAATACTTCATGCATCCTTAACAGGGACAAACTGCCTAATCCTTGGGGTTGGCAGTCTCACCTTGCGGTAAATATCAGCCACAGGAAAGTCCCAAAACAAATGGGACTTCTGCACGTGGGTGATTTCACTTGGTTCTAGGATCTTAAGGAATCCAGGGACTTCAGAGTGGGTTTACAGGGCTGGGCAGCTCCCTCTGGAGATGCCCCTTCCATGTGCACAGGTTTGCTGCAGTCAGCCCTGGCCGGGTGCTGCTTTAGGACTGGGATGCACACACTATAAAAACACTGTATTTAGCAGCCGTTCCAGTGAAAACGGGCAATGCTACTTGGATCAAACCACCACTCTAATTTGCTATGCTAGGCTGGTGTAGACTGGGACATAAATTGTATACAAATGTGGTATTATCAACAGTTCCATTATAATGGACATTACTGCCTGGGTAAAATAAACACTATAATTTGCATATTTGAGGATTTCTTTCTGCCTGCGGACTTTGGCGTGTAAACCGTCCGCTGTGTGTTTCTAATTTCAGTCCCAAGCCTGCAGATAGACAGCAATGTAATCTTGTCAGGTCAGTTACATTTCATTGCTCGTTTATTTTTAGATGAGCCCATGCTATTGTTGCATGGATCAAGGACAATCTATAACTCCATGATGATTTTTGCAGTCCTGTCTGAATGTTTTTGACAGCTCCAGGCCTAACAAGGTAATAGGTTTGCAATTTAAATGACTCCTGTTTGGGAACTGAAGCAATTCCGCTTCCGTGTTGCGTGGAATGATAGTCCTGTGTACCTGAGGGATCGCAGGTGCCCGGTTCGGATATTCCTCCCTCTGGATTCGTGCCCAGCAAGGTGGTCAGGCAGGTTGCCAGCTCTTCCTCCGTCATGTGCTCTCCTGAACAGCAAAGCAAAACCAGTTGGTTTATGAAATTATTAACCCCAAACCCTACGGACTGCTCACACAAGAGCAGCACATGAGCAGAACGGGGTGGTTTGGAAGAGGATTGGGCTGCTCGGAGGTGCAGACCTGCGTCACCAGGTGAAACGCACGACCCCAACACAGAGCAATGCTGATCCTAGGGAAAATGGTTCACGTGTGCTGCGTGCATTTGGGGCAAACTATTTATCAAAGGAAGAGAGGCTGTTGCAAGTGGCTTTTCAGGCCACGCTGCCAGGGCTTGCGCTGCTGTTCCCATCGGAGCGCTCACAGCATGGGACACACCACGGACCAGGCAGCCCAGTGTCAGTAGCCGGTTCCACCCCAAGGAGGAAGAGGAAGGTGCAGGAAAGTCTTCAAGAGAGTGTCCTGGAGTAACTTGGATGTGGCAGTTGTTCCCGGCTAACGGTTGGCTCATGCCCTGAAGCATGAGGTTATAGATCTGTTATGAAACTGTTCTATCCTTTCTAATGCATCTATTTATGGGTGTTCACGCCATGCGTAGAAACAGCTAACCTTTCTCACATTGGCTGGATCCTTGGTTTCCAAGCACCGTTGTGGCAAGGACTTTTACCATCTGACAAACTGAATGAAACAGCTTTTCCCTTTTCCTGTTTTAATGCTCGGGAGCAATAAATGCTCCTTGTTCTTACAAAGGGAGCAAGATAAGTACTTTATTTACCTCTCTTTAGCACTGGTCATCAGCATATTTACACAGGCCTTTACAATGTTCCCTCTGATTAAGCTAACCTAAACCATGCCTATCTTTCCAGACTTTCACATACAAACTCAGTCCAGGACTCCGACCATTTTCATCCCTCCTTTCTTGTCCCTCTTTTCTTCAGTTTTTATTCCCTTTCTGGACACTGTGTGACCAAAAAGAAGTTCAGACAAGGGTGTGCTGGAAGAAGGGTATCATTGTTGAGACCCATGCTCCTGATTCGGCAGACAAGGTATTTCCAAAGCAGTAAAAGTGGGGCTGAGCAGGTAGATGTGATTACTCAATTTAAACTTCCAAGGCTTGTGGCTCCACACGCCTGCCCTGGTTACCAAGCTCTAGATTCATTTTTTGCTGCAGCGAATACATGCTGAAATTGAAGCGAGAGCTAGCGAGCACACAGCTAATATTAGAAAAGAAATAACTCACCTCTGCGCTGAAGCAGCAAGAGCAAGTCTCCTCTGTCGATAACTTTTTCTCCATTCTCATTATCATAACCAAGGACCTCAAATGCTCTCCGTATTTTTTTCATTGACAAGCCGAATGCAGGTCGATGATTTATATAAAGTTTGATAAAGTCCCCTAAATTGATTTTTGTCACTTGTTTTCCACTATCCACGTACTCGCTGAACTTGACTTCATTTATCATTTCTTCAATCTAGAGATCAAGGCAAGAAAGACCATTACGAATTCCCCCGTTGAGGAGCATCAACCGGTTGCCGATCTCGGGAAGCGGCGGCTCCGCAGCTGCAGGTTTGGGCCCCGCGGATGTCACTGCTGTGACCCGGCATGAGCTGGCACTCAGTGTGGACCCGGCCAACCCTTGAGTGCCTCTGCTGTTACGACACTGTGAGGTAAAGATGAGGGCAGCAGATACTTAGTCATTCTGGATTTCCTGCATTTGCTTGTGAAATAGCTCTCAGCAGAGGCAGCGGAGTTTCTCTAGGTTTAGGTGAGCAGCGCTGAGCTTCACATTTCTGGGAATAACTGCGCTCAAAATGCCATCAACGCCCGCAGTGTGATCCCCGTGGTGCCCTGCCTTCCCTCTCGGATACGCGTCTTGCCCGCTCTGGGATCTGTAGCTGCTGTGGGATGGGGAAGATGCCGTCCTGGGCGGCGAAGACGCTTGGTGCCTTTGCACCAGCTTTGCCCTTTGCTCTTCCCAGCACCTTTGCTGCAGCTGTGCCCACGCTTGGGGCCGTAAATAAACCACAGGGCAGTAAATACACCACGGGGCAGTAAATACACAGCCTGTGGCCCCACTGCCTACACAGTTCCCAGTGTAACCATCTGCACACCCTAAATACACACCCGGGGCAGCAAAGATGCTCTCCCCGCTCATCCTGCACCTTGTATCACCCTGCACATGGGGCAGCTCCACCGCTGCAAAACCGAGCTCGGCTCCGCTCCGCAGGGCTCCCGTTTGCTCCTGCTCCGGCCGGATCCCTCTTTTGCGGAGCAAACAAGCTCCGGCGACACTCACTGCTCAGAGCTGGGCGCTGTGAGCCGGGGCTTTGCCCAGGGAAGCTCCTGCTCCCAGCGCTCGCAGACACGGGGCAGCGGAAGGCCGGGATTGCTCCCGGTGCCAGCGCGTGCCGCCCGCGCCCCGCCAAGGGCAGCTGACGCGGGCGCTCCCTGGGGACGGCTCCGCATCCAGCCCTGGGCCTTTGTGCTCCTGTCACAAGTTTTTCCAGTGAATGAAGCCCGGGGAAGATGGAAATCTTAGCCTTGATTTTTTTTTCCTGTAGCAAATGTCACGTCAAGCAATAACAGTCGATTTTGCTCAGCTCTAGCTGATCTGGGATTAGGTTTTCTATCGGCCCCACTGAACTACACAAGAAAAACATGAATTCCCCACAGCTTTGTTAGGCAGCTCAAGCTGCTCTTTCTCCCTCCTGATTTTCTTTTATTAAAACACTCTGGAGAGAGAGATGAACTTTGTGTACTTGAACACTGTCCTGCTCTGAGAAGCAGACTGGAGGGTGCCTAGTTTCACAGCAGCATAGCACTGCTGTTCCCTTGCATAAAACACTGTTTTGATTTTTTTTTTTTCAGTTGAATTTTTCTTTCAGAGACACTTCCCTGCACGGACATCCCCGAGGACTGTGTCCCCTCTGTCCCCAGGAGGCAGAACTGTAATTAGAAGGTCTAATAACGTGCGAGAGGGTACAACCAAGGCAAAGCGATCGCAGCTGGCGCTGCCTGGGCGCAGGAGCCGCAAAGAAACCCTGGTAGGTGGTGCAGGTCCTGCCTCCCATCTGCTGCCTCGTCTGGCCGGGCAGATGGGCTGGCACCGACCCAAGCAGCGTCACGGGGGCCCCCGGGGCTCCCCAACCACCAGCAGGGACGAGCGGAGCCTCCCCCATGGAAAGATGAAGGGAACAGCACCACGCACCGCATCCCTTGGGAAAACTGCTCCTGCGCTGAAGGCCGGGAGCCGGTGCCGGGAGGTTGTTATCTAAATCATCTTGCATCAGATTTGGTAATTTCTTAATTTCTTTCTTTCTTCTTCTTTTTTTTTTTTCCTCCCCCTGTGTTCTTTAATTACCCTTCTGCCAGGTTGCAACACTGCAAAGGAGGTGTGTGCACGGGCGAACTGCCTTGGGGATACAGTGACACAAAGGGCGAAGCAGCACCCTTATTAAGTCAGTTGTTTGCTGCAAAACTTGATGCTAAAAAGCTCTTGAGAAATGTTTGATAGGAAGCTCCACTGCTGCAACCTGCAAGATCAGGGAGCCTCTGCAGAATTATCGGTTATGAAAGAGCTTTAATTCCATGGGAATAGAAGCTGCCGTCTCCATCTCAAGTCACTCTTTCATCAGTACAAGACAGATCAAGAGAAAGAGGCTCTGATACATCCAAAAAAGCACTACATGGAGCTAGACATCCCCACCACCCTTGGTGTCTTGCTTAACACGTGTAGGAAGCCTTGACTAAGTCTCCATGCAGACCCAGCAAGACTTCTTGTGTCTGAGGTCTCAGCCCATGGCCCACCAAGCACACGGTGCTGGGAAAGAAGCTGGGACGATCCTGGAAGTCACAGAGACACCTCGAACACATCCCAGCCCTCAAAGCCCAGGTTCATCCCAGCCTATCCTGACACCCATCCAGCTCTCCAGTGAGGGATCGTGACTTCTTCAGATACATGCTGCCACACTCTGAGCGCTCCTCTAATTGACCCAGACCAGGTAAAATACATTTAAAACCAGCAAAAATATCCTCTGGGCCCATCTGGTATGACAGTGGTGAGGATCTGTCCCGCAGGACACTTAGTACAAGCATTCTCGCCCATTCTTCTTTTAATAACAACAACAGTAAAGAAAACAATCGACTAACCTTTTCCTCAGAGGGATAAAATCCCATTGCTCTCATTACAAAAGGAATTTCCTCCAGGGGAATGTGCGTTGACACCTGCCTGGTCTCCATCGTATCAATGCCGTGGCTGCGCAGCTGTGCATAGTAAAAATAGTCCTCCAGTTCCTGCAAGGGGTTCAGACGAAATACCAAAAAGTTCAGCCACCAACAGGGGCAGCAGATAAGGCTTCTTTTAAGATTTATTAACAGGCCTGTCAAGTAGAATATTGTTAAGGGCAATCTGGACCAAAATGAAGAAATGTGAGGCCTGTACAAATGAACCTTGGACTCCAACCAGGTGTTCCCAGCGAGCGTGATTACCCTGAAGAAGTCGCCGTCCCTGCCGCCATCCAGCAGGTTGTAGAAGGGCTCCAGGTCCTGCCCGCCCAGCGAAACGGCGGCATCCAGAGCCCTGCAGCGCGCGGGGAGGAAGGGACGGGACGGGACACGCCGGGGAGATGGCACCTTTCCCCTCCTGGTCGCCGTGTGGAGGCACTTCCG